TTATATTTTGTTAATTATATTAATAACTTGATATCTTGTGATTCAAATTATCTAAAGCTTTTATATATGATATAATCTTAGATTATATTTAACTTTGGTCTAATTCAAATCAGTGAGTTTTAAGAAATACAATGTCAAAAATGGTGTTCAGAAACTTTTGGTACTCTTTGTATTGTACTGTATTATATCAGTAAATTTAATAAGATATAATATTATGTAAACTTACATTCTGTAATATTATGAAAACTTATGAGCTCATTATAAGATTATGTAATTTATATTTTTGTAATATTTCGTAACATTACGATGTAATACTATGGAAGTATTATAGTATGTAACTATGCAAAAGTTTACAGCATGATACTTTATAATATTACAGTATAATATTATGTAAAACTTATGAAAATATAAAATTTGAAAGTTTTTAGCGTAATACTTCAAAACATTACAGTGTAATATTATGTAAATCTTATGATAATAAAAGGATTTTGAAAGTTTAGGAAAATTTATACCAGAAAGTTGTTTATAATATTTTATAACTTTCGATAACCTCTGACTTTTAGTAATATGCTGATTAGTTGATACTGCAGCATGCAATGCAATTTATTATCATCAATGATCTAATCTACTAATTTCTAATCAATCATTTCCTTAATTTATATATAATTATTTTATCATATACAGAAATAAGGAACCCTACCAGGCGATAAAATGTAATTTAAAACTATCAATCATTTAATATTTCGTAAATTTACTAAGTTTAATATATTTAAATTTATTTATATGCAAATTATGCTTTTATTTAAAACAATTTGAAAATGAATTACAAATAATATAAGTTAAAATATAAAAAAGAAATTATTACAAAAATGAGGATCACTATCATAGTAATAAAGTTAAAAATTTGGTTAAATGTTGATAAGAACATTTCTAAAAAAAGGTTGGGAAATAAAAAAATAAATGTTAAATATTTGATGCTTTAGTAGTGCCAATATGGGGGTTCTGGGACCAAAATCATACAATACCCAAAATAGATCTCTAAACCTTTTTCCAATCCATTCTAGTATATATGAATCAACTATTGAATTTAAGCCTCCAACGTAAATTTAGCTCAAATCCTGTTAATAACCTCTCCTTGGTACAAAATCTAGGCTTCAAAAGCTAAAAAGAATACAATCTTTTTAACTGTTCTAGCTCATTTTTAATCCCAAATAATATATCAAAAAAAATTTACTATTCTATTTGCCTTAGAAAAGGTCATCAAAAATCAAGGAACAAAGTGATGATGTTAAGCTTAAACTGTTCGTCGTTAAGTTAACAAAGATTATTTGCTAGCAGGAAGTTTAAGTATGTCTTAACTATGAAAGAAATAAATACGAATAATTATATTGAAGGGTCAGGTCATCTTTATTGATATAGATTTAAAGAAGAATGAATTGTTTAATGAGCTAAGATAAGTTTTAGAGATAAATGTTATTGATTTATTAGAGAATTAGTAGTGACTCTGCCATTTATTAAAGCAGAAATACAAGATATTTATATAAAATACATCAATATGAAATAGATATTTAAGATAGTAAAGAAATATAAGAAATATAAGAAAATAAAGATATTAAATATATTAAAGAAATATGTGAAATTAGAGAAATTGGAGATTACTAAGAAATTAGTGAAATCTGAGAAATCTGAGAAATGGTAGAAAGTTGAGATTCATGATTGACATGATTACCATTCGTCAATTAGGTTAAGCGCACTATCGTGCGTTATAACAAGACTATCACTAACAACATAATTTGAGCTGGGCCTAACATTGCAAACCCAATATGAATAATAACTTTTATGCTATTCTGCTTGCCTCCAGAGAATCCATCAAAAATCAAGGAACAAAGTGACGTAAATTGAGTTAGATCTGACCATATAAGTCTAAAATGCATATCATATTTCATGATATCCTAAAATTAGTTCTAAAGTTGATTCATTATCAGCTAGCAATACTAAAATTTACACCTATGCCCGTTCATAAGTGTAAATTTTTTAATGTGTACAAGAAAGTCTAAAAACTCTAGATCAAGTTCTTGTATACTAAAATTTCTCAATATTCAGCAAACTAATCTTAAGCCATTTCCTTTACATAAAACTAGGGTCGCTAATTTTTACCTTAGGTGTAAAAAAAATTGGGTTAGGTGAAAATTTTTTGTATGTCTTAATACTAGGTATAAAAAAAATCAAAATGCAAAGCTAAAAGAAGAGACTTAGAGTGTTTAAGCAACAAGACACTCAGGGTTAGGTGTAAATTTTTTGTATGTCTTAGTATTAAATGTAAAATTTTTAACCCTAATTTGCCTTCCAATAAGTACCCATAGCTCTATTTCAAAGCTTATTAATATACTGGGTGACATAATAACTATTAGCATGTTTTCTACAAAAGACAGGCTTAGAGCTAGTCAGCTTACCACAAACTGAAGTTGACTATTAAATAATTTTTTTTAAACAAAAGCTTTTATACTGTTAATACAAATAACTGAAAGTATATACATATATCTAAAATGATTTTACAATGTTCTCAATGTGAAAAGGATGACTTTAAAAAGTCTCGTGATAGGACAAATCATCTTAATAGGAAGTTTAAGTGTAAGCAATTAATTCTATTCATCGACCAACACATGTTTCACCTCCTAGATCCAAATCACCTATTCCAATAATCCATATTTGAGGAAAGGATCAAAGAATAGAGAAGCTAAAAGTGGTTAACTGACAAGACGCTTAGATAGTTAACCTAACTCCTGATCCTGAAGCAGGACCAGGCCCAGCAACCCAAGCTTTTAGAGAAGGGTTAGCTACCACCTTGCAGGTCAAAGACCAAGAGGGTGACGCTCAGGAGTATTCTTCAGGAAGCATTTTCGATCAATTTATCATGAAAAGGGAAAATCAAGACTACAGGGGGTATATGAAGTAAAAGAAGTAATAGTTGAACCTCCTCATGATGAGATAAAATTTTTAGAAAGAAAGTGTGATTCAGCTAGAGCACACCCTTTTCAAAAACATCTAACAACATGGAAAGGGATTGTCCTATCAAACAAAAATCCTGTATATGCTTTTAATAAGCAACAAGAGCGTAAGATAGAATATACAGATGCCCTATAAATACCCCAATTAATTGCATCAGCATGTAAGCAAATTACAGATGTTCTTAAAGAAGAGCTCAATAGGAAGGATCAAATAAAATCTGCAATAGTCATATATGCAATATATATGAAATACAAATATCTTGAAAGTGGTGATACAACAAATATAAAAAACTATGAAAAGACATATTACCATCCATATTATAAAAGAGATCAGCATAAATTTCTTTCAGAGAATAATACAGATGAATATATATCAAAATTCACTGGAGAAATCGATGAAAAGATCGAAAAATACTTGAAGAAAGAGTCTGGTAAAATCCTTCTCTGGCTAGAAATGGTACTAATAAAATTTTATACTTATCATAAAGCCACTGGAGGATCCTATGAGCCCACACCTAAGAGGCTTGCCAATAAAAAGTGCACTATCAATCCAGATAATCAAGGTCTTATCGATTCAGAAACAAATGCATTATATAAAAAATGTATCCAAGATGCATTAGGTTGCTATTTTGCAGATCAAGATGGAATTACAGATTATCTAGGAAGACGTATATTTAGGGCAAAAAGTCTTAGAAAATACTTAGATATTATTAAGCTAGATAGAATCCCCATGCCTACTCCAATTTGTTTGTGTATATTTAATAAGATAGAGAAGATGAATCCAGATATCTTCATTAATATCTGGGAGCAAAATGAAGAAACAACTACTCCAAAGGCAGTAATTGCTAGTCAAAATTACAAAAGACCAAATATAGTTGATTTCTTAGCCCTTACAGATATTATCAAATCAGAGGATACAGTCAAGTATAAACAAAAGAATCACTTCCTATGGGTCAAGAATATTAATGGATTAGTATATAAAAATACTGCACATAAAAAAAAGAAGCATTTTTACAGACATTGTACACATAGTTTTCCCTCAGAAAAATCTTTAGACCATTATAAAGAATATTGTTTTAGGTTAGGAGAGGCGACCCAAAGAGTTAATCTACCAGTGAAAGGGGTCAATGCTTTTGAGCAGTTCAAGAATTATGGCTGAATGATTAATGAATCATGCGTAATTATAGCTGATTTTGAAGATGATAATAAGAAGTGTGATGAAGCATATGGTGGAAGCATACGTAAGCTTGCCAAATAGAAGGCTAATAGTTTATTCTACCTAGTCTACTAGATAATACAGGAGATGTATGAGGTCCTTTCCTATACAGAGGAGAAAATACTACACAAGAATTCATTTAGAGAATTGATTAGGAACTGGATAGTATTATTGAGGTCTTAGCCATTAAAGCTAATTGAATTGAGACTGCTGAAGATAAGAAAAAATTCGCAAAGGCAATTAGCTGTTGGATCTGCAAAGACAAGTTTGATATAAATATAGAGGAAATTGAGCAACTAGAAAATAAAATAATCAGTCTTAAAAAAAAACTAGAAGTATTCAAAAAAGGATCTGCAGAAAATAATAAAATCCTAATAACTATTGATAAAGCGAGCTAGTGAAAAAACTAAGGCTAATAATGTTTGGGACTACTGTTATATTATAGGTAAGTTCTGAGGATTAGCTCATAATACCTGTAATCTCAAACTCCAGATTAAGCCATGAAAATTCTCTATTCCAGTAATCTTCATAACTTTCAGGCTATGACTCTCACTTAGTCTGTAAATCTGTCAGAAATTCTGTCAATACATATCAGATCAAAGTCATAGCTGAAACTTTTGAGCGATATAAATCCATGAAGGTAGTTCAGCTTAAATATATAGATAGCATGCAGTTTATGAACACTAGTCTGGCCAATCTTATGAAAAACTTGGTGATAACCATCCAATAACAAGCCAATACTTTAAGAATTAAGGCTATTCAGATGGAAAATTTCACTAGTATGTTGCAAGGGGGTTTATTCCTATAAGTATATCAATTCTCATGACAGGTTTAAGGAAAAAGGCTTCCTCTGATTTATGAATTTCATGGGATTCTAAGTGGTAAGATCTCATATGATGATTACTACTATGTCCAAAAAGTATGAAACACTTTTGAGTGTAAAAACTTAGGTAAATATCATGATCTCTATCTTAAGACTGATTTACTCACCCTTGCTGATGTTTGGACATAGCTTCAAAAAATGTCTATGGAATATGATGGGCTTGATTCTAATCATTATATCTCTCTTCCATCATATTTCTGGGACGTCATGCTTAAAATGACCAGAGTAAATATAAAGCTTTTCACAGATATGGATAAGCTTGATTTTATAGAAAAAGCTAAACGTGGAGGAATATCTATGACCTGTCAAAGATACTCTAAGCTAATAATCCTAAGATGGAAGAGGCTTTGACTCATCTCAACTAACAATCTGGATTTCATATATTGATGCGACAAATTTTTATGGCTGGTCGATAAGTCAGTACTTACCTATTGGAAATTATCAATGGGAAGCTAGTCAGGAATATTTACTTAAGAATCCAGTAATGCAAAAGAAATATCTCGATATAGCTCTTAGAATTAAGCCAGATTCAAAATGAGGATATTTTCTAAACATTAATGCTCATTTTTCTCTAAAAACTCATAATTATTTGAGCGATTTACCTCCAGCTGTAGAGAATGTTGCTGTAAGAAAAATATGCTATATCCATATAATGCTAAGCTTGTAGAGAAATTGGATGGAGAACGCTTCTCAATGACAAAATAATTGGTTTCCCATCTTAAACCACAAAAGAATTATGTTATTTATTACCTAGAGCTTCAATACTATGTAGAATTAGATATGGTTGTAAATGAGGTTTTAAAAATCCTATCATTCGACCAAACTAACTGGCTAGCTCCCTATATAGCATTTAATACTGAGAAACGTAATGAGGCTAAAAAAGCTAGGAATGCATTTCTGAGTAACTTCTTTAAGCTTAAGAATAATGCAATATTTGGTAAGACTATGGAAAATGTTCGCAAGTATCAGGATGTTAAGCTTATGAAAATGAATAATGAGCAAGATGAAAAAGCTTTCTTGAATAAGGTCTGCATGCCATCTTTCAACTATGCTAGATCGCTAGGACCTACATTAGTAGGAACGCATATGGAAAAAATTAGTGTGACTCTTAACAAGCCTATTATAGTTGGAGCATCTGTTTTAGGTCTTAACAAACTTTACATGTACAAATTCTGGTATAGATGTGAAAGAAAGATATGGTAACAAGGTCCAGCTAGGTTATATGGATACAGACTCTTTCATATTCAAAACTGAGACTGAGAATATCTATAAAGATATGTCTGAATGACCTGACCTCTTTAATCTTAATGGGAAACAAACTATTAGTAAATATAAGTACGAGACTCCTGGTAATGAAATTTCATTATCAACGCATATTTGGATAAAATTATCACTATATCTTAGCTAATAAGTCCACGAATTCTAGACATAAGGAGTTAGAAAAAAAGGTATAGGTGAAATGGCTACAGATTCATATACGCCAACTTTAGAAGGATCATTGCTTAATGCTCCAATAGATAAGTCCTTATTATTAGAACAAGAAGCTAAAGATTTGATTATGCAAACTGAGGCAAATTCTATGACTTTAGTATATCTGGATTTTCTTTTTGAGAAGGAAGTATTCTATGCTAAAAATGTGGATATCTGATCAAAGAATCACATATTATCTCGAGTCGAGTTTGAGAAAAAGGCACTCTGTTCTATAAATACTAATGCTGGATATTATCAGATAAGATAACTACTTTACTATATAGGCATTGGTCTATCATGATATACAAGAATATGGTCAAAGATGATATTCCTCATTAAGTAGCCGAAAAAAGAACTATAAAAGGAAAGCTTTCAGAGAAGTATCAAAACGAATATACGTTTCATATAGCCAGCTCACTCCAATAAGCTACTATTGAAAGAGTATTCTATATTTCTTATAGTATTGACATAAGAAGTGCTATTATTATATTTTTTTTTCTGGCACATTAAATATACAGTTATAAAACTAATACTAAAACTGAAAGTATATTAGTTTCTGTAAAAATCAAAGCACTAGAGGAAAGGATGGATGATATAGATAACCGTTTAGATATATTATTTTCCTACTCTTGTTCATCTGAGCTTAAGAAGAAGGTTAAAAAGCTAGAATGAATCGTAGACTGGATAGGAAATTATGTAGAAGAGCAGATTGGTTTAGAACCTAATGAAGAACTAACAGATTCATCCAATTCATCTGATTCAGATTATGATTATGTGATACACGACCCAGAAAAGAATGTTCACAAAGTAAAATATGTGAAGAAAAGATTCAGTAATAAGAATGTGAAACGTAAAAGATATCCATCCTGATCTGTTAATGTTAAATCAACTAATTATTGAATTGGATAATCTAACTAGTAATAGCTAAGAATCAAAGGTGGCTAATGATATCCATAAATAATGTGTATGTAATTTGGTCACATGATACTGCTCCATTAGGGCTCAGTGTCAGATGACATCCAACGGAAGTCCACGCGGTGTCACATGTTACCGCAGTTATATTCGGGCGATTTAATTAGCTAAAACACAATATAGAGTATATATTTTTTTTGCCGAACTTTAAAGGATATTGTCTAGACATCCACTGATCGGATTTAAGCAAATTTAGGCTTGTTGGAAAGATCAGAACCTGCTGAATTCAGACGTTCAATCCTCATCAAAATTAGGCCGGTAGATGTCGAGATATTCGCGTTCCAAGATCGTTACGACAAATCTGACTTTTATGGTTGATTATCATTATAATAAAAATATACTGCGCCACTATAACCATGGTGATCACACCTCTTCTATCGAGAATAATAAATTTTATTATACCTAGTTTTTATACAAATAAAGATGATCCTGTTATCTGAAAAAAATATACATTCCGCTCATATATTCATAGTTCGATTAATCTAGTTTGATCTTAGATATGACATTTACTACTGAAATACTGTTATTCACTGGTGAAACATCATTATTTAATGACAAGACACTATTATTCACTGTTAGAGCACTGTTATTCACTGATGAGACACCATTATTCACTATCAGAGCACTATTATTACAATTATTTTTTGCCTTAATATGTTAAATTAGCCAACATGAATATTGGAACTCTTTCTTACAGTATTAACATGTTCAATCATCTAGTTTTTTTTTATGTATTCTGATTCCTTCTTTTCTACAGTAAAGACATTCCACTGGAATTTGTGAACTGATATAGGAATAATAATAGTCTTTCCATTTTGAGTTACCTTAAATTCTTTCTTTACTAGATATTCCTAACTAGACCGATATTGCCACTGTGTCCCAAGAATAAATTGGGATAATTCTTTTCCATTATCATCATATTCTATAAGAACAACAGAAAATTCATTCAGAATGGTATCTCTATTTTTTCTATCCTCAATAATTACAGGAATACTATTAACTATACTAAGGGAATGAGACTTACTTGCGATCCCATTAAGTCTGTAAATCTTTTTCTTATCTATCTTTAGACTCAAATGCTTAGCCACATTTTCTGAGATTATAAATGAATCAGATCCACTATCAATCATTGCATACAGTATAGTTATCCCTTCACTTTACAGAGATGGTCACAACTAGGGTTCCGCAATTCGATTTGATATTTGAATATTTGATTTGATTCGATCAAATTCAAATCAAAGAATCATTTATTTGATTAAATCCAAATAAATCTTTAATTCAATTCGATCAAATTCCAATCAACTATTCAAATATTTGATTTGATTTGTAAAGCCATCTCTAAAGCTTCAGAAATGGTATTATCTAAGAAAAACATAGTAAAAAACACCTCCGCTGCTTTGGAAATGCTTTTTTATTAAGTAAAACATAGTAGAAAACGCCTCTGCAGCTTCAGATACTAAGTAAAACATAGTAGAAAATGCTTCCGCGGATTTGGAGACGTTTTTTACTAAGAAAACATAGTAAAAAAAAGCATTTCTGAAGCTGCGGAGGCGTTTTTTACTATGTTTTTCTTAATAAAAATACACCTGTTACTAAACTTACATTGTAAAAGCTATTTTTGAAATTTTTTACTGCAATCACTAATTATTTTTTTAATTAAAACTTTGGAATAACTTTATTTTAATATATCATTATAATAATTAAAAAAAAATTTTATATCTGATTTGATTTGATTTGATTTGATTTGACCAAATTTGAATTTGATTTAATTTAATTCGATCAAATATTTGATTTGATTTGGTTTGATTTGAAAAATTAAAATCAAATTCAAATTGCTTTAATATTTGATTTGATTAGATTTTGAGGGACCCTAATCGTAACATCGTCAGCATCCTTTATTTGTAAAAAATTTATCTCTAATAGTTTAGGCCAGTATATAGGAATTAGCCTGGAGGCGCTTTGCATGTTACTTTTTTTTTCAGCTGAATGACGTGATGCATATACTTTAATAGCATGGTTTAAAGTATTAGAACCCACTGGTATTATATCATTCATAGGATCATCTAACTCAGTCCTTCTAGGATCCTCTAGCTTCTCTTCTATTGGAACTTAAATAAGAGGTTTTTACTCTATATTTGTGATTTGGATTAGCAGATATAAAATATCTATAATTTTATTTGTAACATACTCCCATACTCTTTCCCTTTTTATAACAGTATCATCTTTCATAGTCATATTCAAAATCTGATCTTTCAATTTAGGGTATATTGTATTAATATATTGAGAGCCTTCCTTAAGAATTTCTTTAGAAATATATTATACAACTGATAATAATATAGATTTTAAGGCTATTAGAAAAACATAATCTTCAATCATAGTTATAGGTGCTGTGGGTTTTGCTTTTTTACGAGACTTGAAAGTAAGGGATTCCTTCTTGTGAGACTTTTTCATAGGTACTCCAGTAAGGCAAAAATGGGGTTTCTGGGACAGATTTTAAATCAATGAAAAATAGTACTCAGAAAAGATTCCTGACCACCTACAAATCCATACTAGCTATACAAATCCATTATCGAATACGAAGCTCTAACGTAATTTGACTCAATTATAGATAATGATATTGAACTTGGCTAGGAATTAGCCTATTTGATACCATGAAGTATATTATTTGATATAACCATTCTAGCC